TGTAGTTAGGAAGAACTCTTCTATCTCCATCTTCGCTCCTAGCTCAACTTTTATCTGTTTACGGAACTTTCTTAGTGCAACTGTGTCTTCGTTTTTTTGTGTGGATATCCCCAGCTTTCCACTCTGCCTCGACCACGACTGCCTGTATTTTGTGAGAACTTTTAAAGGTCTTCCAAGGTGCAGAGAGGTACTGGAAAACTCTACATCCTGACTGTTCCTCTCGGTCAACACAGTACAACAAGAGCTACCAGGACTTCAACATTATTTCATATATATATATATATAAAGAGACAAAGGTCGCCTCTCCCGTCAAAATAGACGTCAAAGCTAGACGCCATATATTGAACGTCGCCGCAAACTAGCGGCCTCGGGTCGGTGACAGAGCCACAACACCAAGTTTGGCAAACTTTGGCGACGGTCAATTGATGGCGTCTAGCTTTAACGTCTATTTTGACGGGAGAGGCTACCTCTGTCTTTTTATATCAATTTCCTCCCGGCAAAATTTCCATCTATATTTCAGCCATAGATTTGGCCTAGCCATTCTACAAGCTAAACATCTCTTTGGCAGATTGTCAAGATTCCATTAGATCCCGTGTGGATCTCATGGAATAAAGTCTGCCCTAGGCTGATGAGGGCCATTAGCCCGAAACCATGATCTCTAGGTGGACGCTTTTCAGTTTGCCAAAGCTGGTGTTGTGGCTTTGTCACCGACCTGAGGCCGCTTGTTTGCGGCGACGGTCAATAGATGGCCTCAGGTTTTGACGTCTATTTTGACGAGAGAGGCGACCTTTGTTTCTTTTGATCAATATCCTCCCGGCAAAATTTCCATCTATATATATACATATATATATACTACTCACGTGAGTGCTCTCCAATAACTCTATCAGTGATATATTTAAATAGAAATCAAAATAAAAAGAGTAAAAAAAAAGGCCACCAACAAAAGCCGTCTATAAAAAAGATATTTAAGGACTTCGACTATGGGAAAAAGTGGATTAAACAGTTATCTGAGAGACTTTATCACACGGTATATAATGGAAGTGGAGATAGCGTTAATTGAAGTAAAAAATAAAGGAAATTAGAAAAAAACAGTGTGTTTTATGTTTGTTATCTTTACCCCCCGCCCTGCACGCGTTCACGCAGTTCCCGGTATTGCATAGCCAGGGAAAGTAAGCAAATGTGTTTTTTTTTTTCAAAATATTTATTTTTATTTATTTTTTTATTTATTCTATTCATTATTGTTCTGAATCTTTTTTAAATACTGTTTTTGTTGTTGTTGAATAAAAGTAATTTTTGTGCTCCTCATATTTTTCTTTCCCCTCTGAATTATTTTTTTTTTATGCTCTATGAATGAATTTTAAAAATTTCAAGTATACGAGTTTAAATTATTTAAGAAACAAAAGTTTTTATTTTGATTTTACGTTTAGTGTAACCTATACTTATATCATTAGATAATAAAAAAGGAATATATCAAATTTAATTTAAAATATTTTAATTTTTAATTTTAAAATCTCTTTTATTTTTTCAACCCAATATATGCCTTTTTATTATCTGTATTTAATGTGATGATTTTTAAGGAATCAAACGAAGATTATACACCCTTACCTCGCTTTGCTTCGGGGTTACGTTCCAAAAAAAAACGACGCAAATTGAAACGACGCAAAGTGAAAATATGTGAAGGCGCAATCAAAAACAAAGGTGTTGCCATATTTTAGGGGAAAAAAAATTCCAAAAAAATTAAAGACTCGAATCCAAAACAACGCAATTTCGAAAATCTAACGACGCACAGTGAAAATCAGTAAAAATTAAGCAGCGACGCAACTTCGAAAAAAACGTAAAACGAAACAACGCAAAGCGAGGTATTGGTGTATTTGAAAAAGGTATTTATTAAATTATTAAGCGCAAACGATATTTAAAAAAAAAACGTTGATATATTTATACATTTCAGATTATATATTAAAATACAGTCGAACTTGGATAATTCGAACCCCAAGGGACCATAAAAAAATTCGAATTATCCAAAAATTCGAATTAAAAACGGAAATTTTATTTATTTCAAATTCTAGGGACCAAGATAAATATTCGAATTAAAGAGGTTTTCGAATTAAAGAAGTTCGAATTATCCAAGTTCTACTGTATTAAACAGTTTATAAATAATATATATATTATAATAAAATAACTCTATAATTCGAATTTATAAGTACAGGTTCCAATATTTTTCATTGGCAATAACTTTTTATTTTCCTTGTTTTATTTTGTATTGATATTAAAGAGACTCTCTATTTACTCAATGCATATACACTCATGGACAAAACTTAAGGAAGTTGTACCTTTTACCATGTATATCGGGATTCAGACAATAACTCTGAAAGATACACTCATAGACAAAACTTAAGGAAGTTGTACCTTTTACCATGTATATCGGGATTCAGACAATAACTCTGAAAGATATTACAGTGACCTTTATTGAAGATACACGAGATAACCAAGTGTGAACAAAATACACTCATGAACAAAACTTAAGGAAGTTGTACCTTTTACCATGTATATCGGGATTGAGACAATAACTCTGAAAGATATTACAGTGACCTTTATTGAAGACACACGAGATAACCAAGTGTGAACAAAATACACTCATGGATAAAACTTAAGAAAGTTGTACCTTTTAGCATGTATATCGGGATTAATACAATAACTTTGAAAGATATTACAGTGACCTTTATTGAAGACACACGAGATAACCAAGTGTGTGAACAAAATTGCATATGTCTTCATCAAAGACTTTCCACTTCCATAAGTTTTGTCCATGAGGGTATAGCTATAGACTGATCTATATACAATAGCGTCTAGTCATATAATCCCTAGGATTCCAAGAATAAAAAAACTTTGTGATACGTCATCTACAAACAGGACCACGGATTTGCACAATGAGATTTTCCAGAAGTTTCAATAACATTCACATCTGCCCTCGCTGACTCTTAAGAGAGAACCAACAAATTAATCAACTTTTTTCTTCAGAGATGCCAACTATACTTTGTTAAAAGACTTCGTGCATCATCACTCTTCCGCAATAAGATAATTAGTGCAAAGATATTGAGAAAAATCTTGACGAAAATGAATTAGTCTTGAGACATCTGATCAGCTTGCTGTCCACCATAATATCTAGATACTATAAAAATACACTTATCTCCCGTCAAAATAGACGTCAAAACTATACGTCATCTATTGACCAAAGCTAGCGACATTGGGTCGGTGACAAAGCCACAACACCAGCTGTGGAAAACAGAGAAGCGTCCACCTAGAGACCATGGTTTCGTGCTAATGACCATTGTCAGTCTTGGACGAATTGTGTCAGTTTTCCAAAGATGAAGTTGTTGGATTTGTCAACGACCCGAGGTTACTAGTTTGCGGCAACGGTCGTCTATTTTAACGCGGGAAAGGTGACCTTTATTTTTATAGATCAATCTCTGGCCTGGGGAATCTAACCTTTTTGAACAACCTTGGTTGCGTGCAGCACCTTGATACTTTGATATAGTGCATTGCGGCTTGTCTGATTGCTACATTATTTTTGGCTCAAAAATCATATACTATGGTTAGTAGCCCGTAAAACCATATTCTCTCTTATAGATCGATATCTTCCCGGAGAAATTTCCATCTAGATAACTCAATTTGTTATAAACCACGGAAATTTCAAAGGTTTTTTAAATAGAATAAAGGCAGTGGAGGATTCAAGTTGCTTTTGCGGTATGGAGGAACAAACCTCAAGACATCTACTGATCGATTGCCCAGCATTTCAAGATTATAGAATGAAGAATGAACTAGTTGTTTATGAACTTAACGATTTGATTTCCGATAAAAAATCATATGTAAAGTTCAATTCATTTTGTAAATACATTCTAAAATTTCTACAAAATCTGGATCTCTAATGTTTTCATGTGTTGAATAATGTAAATAACTTATGTAAATAAACCTTTCTCTTTGTTTGGCGCAAGTATCCCTTGCGGGATATATCGCGTTGGAACTAAAATAATTGTAATTGTAATCTAGATACTAAGTATGAAAAAAGGCCAACTCGAATATTTGGTGACTTCTGTACACTTCAATGTTCTCGGTTATACACAGCTAATTGATAATGGTATTCTGAAGGTTTTACTGACACTTTCTGTAGTAGAACTTTATAAGTGTTTCTTGTACTGCTTTTTTTATTTTCACCTCGCCTTATAACATGCACTTTACAGCCTTGATTCTCTCAACTTCACTTTAATGAAGTCTAATGAAGAGTTCTTCCTTTTTCATTTATACTCATGGACAAAACTTGAAGAAGTTGTACCTTTCAGCATGTATATTGGAACAATAACTCTGAAAGATATTTGATACACAGTGTTCTTTAGTGAAGACACACGAGATAACCAAGTGTGAACAAAATTGCCTTTGTAGCCTTAAAAAATCAGACGACTGGCGATATCAAATATGAAACTTTCTTAAGTTTTGTCCATGAGTGTATATATCTATGATGGATATTTTTCTCTTTATGTGTATCATTTTATTATTTAATTTGCATATGCATAGATAGGCCTACCTTACTTGTTTTCCCAGCAGCTTGTCACAATTATCATGAACACCACAGAAAGGAATAGCTAAATATTTAGAAATAATTATTCTAACGTCCGTCTTTATCACTACGAGTATTCCTTTTAGAAAAGAATATTTAGTGTAACATAGAAAATAAACAATGGTTAACTTCAAGATGACACAGCAATTTATTTAAGGCAAGAATAAATTTTATTTTTTTTTTTAAATATCAGAGAGAGAATAAAGGAAGTTTACAGAGTAGCAAATCATAAATTGTAAAACGACATTTGAAAATTATCCCGCATGTGTTTCTTTTCAACGAAAAATCAAATTTTATTTTAAGGAGAAATAACGATTATTTCTAACCTTAGGTATGAGGTATGAAAGGATGATTTGTGAAGAGTAATGATAAACGGAAAAATAAAAGTGTCCAGGGATGGGAATCGAACCCACAGTACCGGGCAGATGACATGTCCACTAGGCTACCCTGGATATAATTTTCAAATGTCATTTTACAATCACAAGCCGCATTATATTATATTGTATTACAAATTATAAATATCAAAATTTAACAAAATCAACAAGCAATCCATGGTCAGGTTCCTTTTAAAATTTTTATTTCTTTATCTTTCGGGTCAATATGCCCTTCAGCAGGAAAACTAGAAGTATGACTTCCAACCAACTATACACGCCCCTCTAGTTCTTCTGTTGAAGGGCATATTTGCCTGAAAGCTAGAGAGTAAATAAAAAAGAAACCTGGTCCTGAGTTGCTTGCTGATTTTGTTAAATTGTAAAGGCAGGAATAAATATACATTAAATATCAAAAAATGAATATGTTCATAAAAAATAATATATATTTTGCTACAATATAGAGATAATGCAACATATATTGGCGATCTAAGGATACGCTCCAGGAGCCTGGGTTACCTTTATGTTTACAACATATATTTAGGGGGAATATCATTAATTTACTTGAATCTATCTTGCAGTCTGGTACAGCCCTGATCAAATTCTTTGAACCTCCCTAACGTGCGGCCTCTAAAACCAACGACCAAATCTTGCAGCCGTGATGCCACTCTGATCAATTCCTTGAGCCTTCGTAAGATGATGCCAACGGCATCTAAAATTATGAGTAAATTTTATATCTTCGACATTGTATAGAACATTTCCTTGAGCCTTATGAAAAGTGCCAGCTCAATACCAGAGATAATTATTTTGTTGAGATACATTTGAAAAATATTCTTGGCTTTAAATTCAATCTTTCACCCATTTTGAAGCTTTCAAATTTATAGTTTAAAGCCTATTAAATAAGATTCTTAGAGATATTAATAAAAACTCATTTAATTTGATTATAGTTAGACCTAATTGTTGCTAGGTTTCTATCACAATCCCTCCCCTCAACCTTTTTGAAATTTACACTTTATACTCGTGGACAAAACTTATAGAAGTGGAAAGTCTTGTATATGTAGGGTAAGTTTGATTGGAAATGTGCGTGCTACTGCAGTGTCTTTTATGAACAAATTTTCAATAATTATATGTATTTTTAAACTTGGAATAAATTATGCGAAATACATGTGCAAGTCTTAAATCATTATGATTTATGGAATCATATTTTCAAGATTTGAAATTTAATTTTAGAATATTTTAAAAAAAGAAGCTTTTTTTTAAAATACTGAAAGTGTTTTTTTTTTTCTGCTGTTAATATAATCGAGGATTCACAAAAAAGCCTTGCTTCGTTTTTTTACAAAAGCGAAAATAATATTTTGATAAGGAAATTACCTTGGCATTCAACATTTTTTCTATTTTTAATTTTGGTAAATTATTAATTTAAGTTTCGTAACCCTTTCTCGTTGAGTAAAAAATATCGAGAGAAAAAAAACTTCATTTTATTCACAGAAGCTGTAAATGTTTTGTTTTGAATTGTTTTCGAAACGTCACACGCTATTTTTTTAGATTTGATCTTATTTTACCTTGTGTTTTTAAAATTATAAGGTTCACTCATCTCCATCCGTATTAAAAGACTTTGCAAATATATAAGAAAGTAATTATATACTCTAGTTAGAAAAAAAATCGCTACGAAATATGCTATATTTTAAAAGAATTATATCGCATTTAAAATAATGCTTAGGAATGTTTATCAATTTGATTTATAGATAAAGTACGAGTGTAATCATTTGAAACATTAGAATTAATATATTATTTTAAATGGCTTCATCTTTTAAAATAATGATTTAATGGATTGCACCATATTTAGAAATAAATGATTGACAGACGATACCAATTTAGTAACCCTAATTTTATGTGACATTAGGAATTAGCTGTTCAAATTTTTTTAATATGGGAGGTAGGAAGATGTCTTGCCATATTTTTATCCTTCCCTACCTCCAATTATCCAGCATTCCTTCCCACCCATATAAACATTTTTGAATTCACTTATATCTGAGTAAGAATTTGTAAAGATTTAAAAGTTAACATTTGAATTTAAACTGTAACACACATTGTAGTTTACCTTATATATAGCTGTAGAACATTACTTTCAGAGAGACATCTCATTGTTTTCATTGCTTACTAGCTGCTGTTACTCTGTTGATGTTTTTTTTTTTTTTTCAGTGAGAATCATTTCTGAAGACCACTAGTGACAAGGTGACACTGAATATATCAATATGCTAGGTTAGGTCAGGTTAAGTTCAGATAGGTTAAATTAGGTTATGTTGATTTAGAAATAAAAGGTAATAAGTTAAGGAAATGGTATTAAGACCAAATCCAAATTAATAATAATGTGTGATGTTTCCATAATAAAGTTGTTACATTTCATCAGACAAAGTATACTAAAATTTTAATACTTTACAAATAACATTTTTACATACTTAACATTTTAGTACTTTGTCTGATAATGATAACAATATAAAAATGCTCCAATGGCCCCCGATTCTTGCAAAAGTCCAACCCCATCAGCAAGTGCAAGTAACCAAACCGGGTTCTTGCACATTTGTAAGTGCAAAGTCAAACTGCTTTTCACATGTGTAAACATATGATGCACTTACAGTAAAAGCAGTCGCCTACTTCTACCCACCATGATTATCATGGGCCTGTACCACATGTACTAGGGATAAGCAAAAAATATAATAATAATAACAACTTGCTCTGTTACTGAACTGTCACAGACATTTCAATATTTTGAATTGGGTCTTGTTACCATTTTTGATTCTAATCTAAGTGGGAAATTACACCCTGGCAACACTGGAGTGGCAGCCAATAGAACAGCGCCGACATACGCGAGGTTTATACAAGTGGCACGAGAGAGTGGCTATGTCATTTCTTTCTTCTTTTCTAAATAGAATCCTTTTAGTTCTTCTTTATTTTTTAGAAAGTGTTTTGTGTTCACATGACTTCTACTGGGTATACATAACTTTAATCCAAATGATACCTTATCCCAGCCAAGACCCCTTAGTTCTCTTAAGATAAACAGAATGTAACAAAAGACCAAATCCAAATAAATAAATAGTGTGTGATGTTTCAGTAACAGAGTTGTTACCATCTTCAGACAAAAGTACTGAATGGTACTTGCCACTCCAGTGTTTCCAGGGTGTGATTTCCCACTTTGATTAGAATCAAAAATGGTAACAAGACTCAATTCAAAATATTGAAATGTCTGTGACAGTTCGGTAACGGAACATATTGTTATTATTATCAGACAAAGTACTAAAATGTTAAGTATGAAAAAATGTTAAAGTAACGAAAGAATTCTATGAAATTTTAATTACTATAAAATGCACTGAGGATGAAGAAGAACTCAACCTCGGAGCCTGCATTTTATAGTAATTTGTCTGAAGATGGTAAGAACACTGTTTCCGAAATGTCACACACTATTTATTTATTTGGTCTTGTTACCTTGTGTTTATAATCTATAATCCAAATTCTGCTTTATTACTCTTAAGATGGTTTAGCCCACAAGTCTCCATGATGGGTAAAAAGAGCTGCTGTCATTGGTTGGCTAATCTACAGGACCCAAAGAAGCCTCATCAGACCACCTCTTGGAAAATGTATGGAAGCCTCAAGACAGGACCTATATTCCAACCCTACCAAAATTGTAAATTTGATCTATGAATTTAGTCTCCATGACCTTATATATTTATACAAAAGACTAGCGGACGTACCCGGCTTCGCCCGGGTTTTACCCGAGTAAAGGTTTGTCTAACGAATCTCTCGATAAAGTGAACATTTTTTCCCGGTCCCTTGAAAAATACTCGATAAGTTGAATAAAATCAATAGTAATTGGTTCCCTCGGTAATTGGAAGTTAAAGGATTAGTATCTTGCCATGGAATTGCATCATTATTCTTGTCTCAAATAAATTGCCGTGGTGTCATCCTGAATTTTGTCTTTCCTAATTTTCTACATTACAAAATCATCGTATCATCATGATAATATTTAGAGCAGATTGTTGAATTATAACAGATAAATTAGAATATTTATCTTGATTATTTTTAGGCGAAAAGTTATTTCAAAAATTTTATTTGCTAGAAACCTTCCCAGTACTATACTAAATAACTTCCCAAAGTTTCATGGCGTTCCAATGAGTGGTTTGGTCAGGCATAAAGGACAAACAGACACACATACATTCATTTTTATATATATAGATTATCAAAAATATAAATATAGTTAAACCTATCTATAGCGCCCCCTCTAAATAGCACCCGATTTTAAATACGTAGTACAATGCGATTTACATTAAAAGTGACCTGTCTATAGCACTCCTTCTCTATAGCCGATTCCTGTATGGGACTTTGATTCCAGCAAAAGGCTTGTTGCTGCTGTTGTATATAGTCACAGTGTAGAAAATACTATACTATACCTACTACTTATATCTCTGTATTCTTAGTTCTCTTCTCTTCAATTATTCTGTAAACTGGTGAATCCTTTATAGGACGAGAGGTCCTCAATAAAGGCTTTTGTTGTTGTTGTGTCCTTCTCTATAGCACCCTATTTTGGTGAGACCCAAGAGGTAGCGCTATAGACAGGTTTAACTGTATATGGTTTAACAAGGCTGTTACCATGTCATTCTATATAGAATACTATTCTCTGTGTGTGTCTACCTGTAAAAAGAATGGTCACCTCTCCCTTCAAAATAGATACGCCATCCTAATAGTTCAATTGATGGCATAGAGCCTTTGCATCTATTTTGGCTGGGGAGATGACTTTCTCTTTTTTTTTATGGATCGCTATTCCTCCCGGCAAAATATCCATTCAATTCATCTTCTTCTTTCTTATCTCCACACTGGGTGAAGTAGAATGTGTCTGCCTTTGTCATTAAGACTGGGGGCACTACTCAGTGGCAGGCCGACTTAGCTCCAAAATAAATGGCCGCCTCTGACATGAGGAACAGATGCCATGTGCAGCCGCTCCTAACATGGAGTACAGACATCCTGTATCCCTGGATTAGGAGCCCTAACAGGGTACTATCAGCCGGGCCAGCTGAACCCAGGTTTTTTAG